AACCCATGTGGGACGTGCAGGAGGCAGCCGATCCATGATTCTCTCTCATCATGGATGTTTCTATTTCTCTCTCCCTCCCTCTTCCTCTCTGAAATCAATAAGAATATATTTTAAAGAAAAATAATACAATGAACCAGTGGAAAACTGCAGCTACGCACAAACTTACTTCAGGCTAAAGAACGCTGGTCTCTGGCTTTAACATACAGCCCAATCCTCAGTAGTTCCTATAGATTTCCAAGTGTCAACAATCTGAGATCAGTTTTGGAAAAGGCTTTTTTGTTTGCAGTGTGGCTGCCACAAGATGCTGTGAGGTGAGCCACAGCCATGGTGGCGAAAGGACCGCCTTCGCCTGTTGTTCTTGTAACTTCTGAGGCAACAGCGCCCCCGTCTGGCTGCCCCCCCCCTAGCAGAACCCAGTGGGCAGCTGAGTGCTCTCAGAGCTGTGCCCTCGCACACACACTTCTTATGCTGCTCAGAGCGTGCGGAGACTCACAAACCAAGGTGGGGAGCCAGGGGCCGACCCTCCCCGGCCAGCACTAGGGCTCGAGGAGGAAGGAGCGACTCGGTGCGTTTTGGAAACAGCAGCGTTCAGGGCCAGCACTTCCCAGAATGAGGCCTCGCGGGCTCAGAAGGGAGGGGTGTGAGGCCAGGGCAGGCCCTTCCTCCAGCTCCTGTGTGAGCATCGGGGACGGGCTCCATGGTCTGCATGGAGCAAGGCCACGTGTGAAAGCAGGTCACAGCCCGCAGGCCAGCGGACAGGGCGCATTCCCGCCGAGGTCTCCGCTACCTTCGTCTCAGCTGGTTTTAATCACCTGGTTACACTGGGCTGAGGGGTATGTTTCATCCACGTCCTGAATTCAGGCAGAAGGTGTGAGACCCTGTGTCTGTGTCCCTAACAAACTACCAGCGAATTTCTTACTCCCGATGGGGAGACCGGCATGTGCTGGAGGCATTACCCAGGCTTCCTGGGTTCACCAAGCATCACCCTCCCAGGAACTCGCGGTGTCTGCTCAGGTGTGTGCAGGGCAGGGTTCGCTCATACACATGGACCCATACAGCTGCCCACAGAGCCTTTTATGAGCCAAATGTTGAGACCCTGTGTCTGTGTCCCTAACAAACTACCAGCGGACTTCTTACTCCCGATGGGGAGATCGGCATGTGCCGGAGGCATTATCCGGCTTCCTGGGTCCACTGAGCATCACCCTCGGGGGAACTCGCGGTGTCTGCTCAGGTGTGTGTAGGGCAGGGTTCGCTCATATACATGGACCCGAACGGCTGCCCACAGAGCGTTTTATGAGCCAAATGGACACATTTCAGCACAATGCAGCGCCCACCACGTGTACCCGGGACCAGGCTGTGGGTTTCCCCGGGAAACAGCGCCGCACCCCACACAGGTGCTCGCCACTGGGGCCTCGTTAGAGAAAGGAGTCACGTGAAGGAGGGGAAGATTTTGAGAGTAAGTTGCCGGGCAGCCTTAGAGAAAGCCCCAGAAAGCCATCGGTCGCAGAGCGCCAGCCACGCACAACAACCAGTTCCCACCCAGGAGCAAACGCAGCAGTTCCGAAAACGCGTTCCTACTTACTTGGCCACTGTCAATCACTCTGAGCGCTAAAGACACAATTAGAGAGAGAAACAGGGTTACACAGGGGCACAGCGCACGGGGAGGCTCGCTCATGCAGCTCAAGAGAGAGAGACGGGGCAACGTGACCAACGGAATAAGTGACCACCAGCAAGAAAGGCTCGGAAAAAGAGACGCAGCCACAGATAAACAAGTACATAAATAAGTAAAAATAAAGCAAGCACACCAAAGAAATCTTGCATAAATTCTGCCTGGCGCCTCTGGCCCCATTAGGTCTTAAATACAATGAGCTCCAAAGGAAAGAAAAGGTTTCAGAATCTGTTGGGGGGGGGGGCAGGGAAGAGGAGAGGGATTTTGCAAAAAGGGCTCAGCCCACCAGCTGGGACTCCTAACCTGACGCCTCTGAGCCCATGGGAGGGAAAGTGCTTCCACCTGTGAGCGCGGGCAGCCGCGAGGCC